ATAACACATTAAGGCACATAAGTTTCAAATGTGTTCAAGGCTAGGTTCAAACTCTAATTGTTAGCATTAAAGCTATAAAACGGAAATCAAAAAAAAAAAACTGATTAACACTGGTGAAGCAAGACCACATATAGAACATTAAAAAAAATTATAATCTTTCACTTTTATTTAAAAAGTAATGTACAGTTCATTTTCATGTTCATTTGTCTACTCTTACACTCTTTAGTTTAGTTGTGTCTTTGTGATAATTATAAATAGATGTTTTAAAGATGAAAGTGAGACAACGTGAGGTGTGTTGTTTTAGAAATTGATCTATGCACCAACTGATCTGTTTAACCCAACTGATGTAGACAGATTCAATCCACATAACCTGATCATACCATGAGTGTTTAAGTGCAGGCAGAGATTAAGATAAGCATTACCTGAACCAGAATTCTGCTGACCAGTCAAATATGCTAATCTATAATCTGCCCTTTAAAGGCACCCGAGCGGAGTGTGCTCAATTTCCCAGACCAAACACACCGTTCGTCATGAGTGGCACGGAGGGACCAGACTTTTACGTTCCCATGTCCAATGTGACTGGTGTGGTGCGCAGCCCTTATGAGTACCCACAATTCTACCTGGCCTCACCGTTGGCATTCTACTCTGTCGCCGTGTACATGCTCTTCCTCATCGTGACCTGCATTCCCAACCAACGGCCTCACATTGAACGTGACAATTAAAAACAAAAAGCTGCGGACACCCCTGAACTACATCCTTCTGAACTTAGCCGTGGCCGACCTCTTTATGGTGTTTGGTGGATTCACGACCACCTTCTACACCTCAGAACACCGTACGTGCCGGTGTTCTGACTATTTGTGCTACCCTGTCAGATTTTGCTACCTCCCATTAAAACAGATGGTAGCATAGTTCGATAGCGAAAAGTGCTACCTATCAGATTTAGCTTCCAGCATGATATTAATATAGTGTGAGGCTTTATTAACATGTACACCAACCCCAACCCTAAACCTACCCTTACAGTAGGATAAATACAGTGTTGGTAGCATAATCTGATAGGTAGCATTATTTGTCAGAACACCGGCTGCAACTTGGAGGGTCTCTTCGCTACTCTTGGCGGCGAGATCACACTCTCTCTGGTTGTCTTGGCTGTGGAGAGATGGGTGGTTGTCTGCAAGCCCTTCACCAGATTTCGCTTCACGCAACTCCACACCACTTATGGTGTCGCTATTTCTTGGACGATGGCCTGTTCGTGTGCCTTACCGCCTCTCCTCGGATGGTCCCGCTACATCCCCGAGGGCCTGCAGTGTTTGTGTGGAGTGGACTATTACACGTTGAATCCTGAGACTGAGAACGAGTCTTTTGTTATCTACATGTTCGTTGTGCACTTCTCAATTCATCTCACCATCATTTCTTTCTGCTACGGCCGACTGCTTTGCACCGTCAAGGTCGCAGCCGCCGAGCAGCAAGAATCAGAAACTACTCAGAGGGCCGAGCGAGAAGTTACTCGAATGGTAATCCTCATGATCATCGCTTTCCTAATATGTTGGCTCCCCTATGGCAGCGTCGCCTGGTATACCTTCACCCACCAGGGAAGTCAGTTCAGCCCCATTTTTATGACCATCCCGGCATTTTTCGCCAAGAGCTCGGCACTCTATAACCCACTCATTTACGTCTTCATGAATAAGCAGTTCCGCCACTCCATGATGTTAATACTGTGCCGTGGAAAAGATTCCTTCCAGGATGAGGAGGAGGGAAGTTCTACCTCAAAGTCCAAGACAGAGACCTCATCTGTCTCCAGCTCTGAATCTTCTACCTGAGGGTCATGCTCTGGGCTATTTACAAAATATACAGTTCAGCTGTCTGCAACCTATGACAGTTACTTCCCTGTAACGAATGACATATGGGATGTGGATGACTGTGGATGGGAACGTAAAAGTATCTCTATTAGACAAGAACAGCACTTTACTACTCCTTCACATGACAATGAACAGTGGAGTTATGGCTGCTGAAAATTTAGCTTTATCATTACACAATTTTAAAATATAAAACTGTATAATTTTTATAACTTAGTTTCATGAATTTGAGCAGAACAAATAAAACTGCTACATAGTACCAGTATATAAAAGTAACAAGTATAAGTAACATTATAGCTGATCATTGCGCTTTTGTTGATTTTGATTGCTTCCATTGTCCTCATTTGTAAGTCGCTTTGGATAAAAGTGTCTGCTAAATGACAATGTAAATGTAAATGTAACATTGATCACTGCAACAATGTTACCTTATGCCAGCTGCAAAAGAATGTGCTAAATAGGACTGAGATAAATCCAAAGGTGTTCAAAGAATCTCTTTTTTTTATTGAATGTAAAGGGCAATGTAGATTTTACACTTAATGTTAAAATGATGTACTGTACTTTATGTACTGATATCTAGACAATATCAAACAGTTCATTGCAAAACTGCAAAATGTTTTTTTCTTACAATGATCAAAATGAACTCAGTGACACTGACTGCCAAACGCAACTACAAATACATTGTCTGTTATGTGAGCAAGGAAAATCAATGTTTCCTTGATTTTTATTGGCATTTTAAGGTTTTTGCGCCATGCTCTTTGGAAACAAATGCCTATGAAACTCTGTAAAAATGACCTTGAGGTAACTATGACAACCCAGCAACCTTTTACCCTCCCCTGATGTACAACAGAATACAAATTCAAACCTGCATAAACAGAAGAGATGGTCACAAATGCTAGCCTAGATAGATAGATAGATAGATAGACAGACAGACAGAGACAGATAGATAGATAGAGTCACTGTAGTGCATGACACATTGTTCTTTGTTCAGATCTGGATGTTGGGAAGTCAGCATACTTTTGCACAGCAGGAAAGCAACAGTGTCTGTAGCTTACATCACTCCATTCCTGTTTTTTCATTCTCCAAAATGTAGGCCTTCTATTCTTGGATGCAGCAGTGGGACTAAAATGAGGTCAAAATAACAGCCATTCACACCAGGTAGCGCAACTAACGCTATGTCATTCCAGGAATGAATCAACTACTTTTGCCTTGTGCCAGATATTAAAAAGCTTTCTGTCGCACATTGTTCACCTTTTCATGTGTTGAGTGAAAATCGCGAGTTCTACCGTTTCAATATTTTGCTGTAGACCAAATCGTACAAGCATTAACTTTTTTGTTGTGCAAACCTAAATGACATGAAAGCTGAATAAAAATACATAAACATAATGAGGTCTTTAAAATGCATTTCTGGACCAGTAATGTTTATTCTCATTCTTTAAAGGGTTAGTTCCCCCCAAAATAAAAATTCTGTCATTAATTACTCACTCTCATGTCGTTCCAAACCCGTAAAGGCCATCTTCGTAACACAAATTAAGATATTTTTGATGGAATCTGAGAGCTGTCTGACCCTCCCATAGACAGCAATGCAACTGAAATGTTCCCAGACAGAAACGTAGCAAGGACATCGGTAAAACAGTCCATGTGACATCAGTGGCTCAACTTCAATTTTGCGACGCTACGAGAATACTTTTTGTGCGCAAAGAAAACAAAAATGGCGATTTTATTCAACAATTCTTCTCCCCCGAGTTACTGTCTTCCGCCATTTTGGAGAGTATCACAACGTATACGCACGCTTTACCCTAAGTGTAAACAACGCTGATTATGCCAATTATGCTCATGCGCGCGCTTATCCCCCCTAATGTAAAAAACGCAGATTACGTTCTTGGGTACTCTCCAAAATGGCAGAAGACGTAACTTGGGTTTTTAAGAATTGTTAAATAAATTATATTTTTGTTTTCTTTGCGCACAAAAAGTATTCTCGTAGCTTCGCAAAATTGAAGTTGAGCCACTGATGTCACATTGACTTTTTTAGCGATGTCCTTGCTACTTTTCTGTCTGGGAACATTTCAGTTGTGTTGCTGTCTATGGGAGGGTCAGACAGCTCTCAGATTCCATCAAAAATATTAAAATACTTAATTTGTGTTATGAAGATGAATGAAGGTCTTACAGGTTTTAAATGACATGAGGGTGAGTAATTAATGACAGAATTTTCATTTTGGGGTGAACTAACCCTTTAAAGTTATGTTGTGAAGTGAGGACATACTAATTCCCTCTGATCCCTAACCACTCTATCCCTACTAGGGCTGCAGTCTGCAGAGAACAAAGTACACCTGATGCATTTCTCTTTTTATGCATTCACATAATTCTCTTTAAGCCAGAGAGGAAGGCTCAGTCTCTTATTCATCTGATAACCCGAGAGAAGGAGTTCTCACTGGATTTTTAAAACGCTGTCGACTCTGTGGGTAGTGTATTGGATCTCTCTTCCTTCACCTTTTGAACTGCCAAGAAGATAAAGAAGTCTTTGTTCTCTCCTCCTCTTTATTTTCCAGACATGTTGGCAAAGTGTTAGAGAAGAACCTAGTGCAGTTAAACAGTCTCCACCTCCCACACGCATCCATCTTGAATAAATTTCACAGTCCAAGTTATCCTCCACTTGACCCGCTAACTAGCCTATTTCCTTTTTGTGCAAAGCTTGAGAATTATAAGAAAGACCATCAAAATATGTATATATACTGTTTTTATTTTTTAACATTATCATCATAGTTTTTATTTCATTATCCCTTCATTCTTTTAAAATGATCACCTCTGAATGTACACATACTGCAAACTGTCAAAAATATACAAACGAATGCAGGCTTGTGCTATACTCTGGTCAAATGTCTAAAAAACAGTGGCACTGGGGAAGAGAGAGAAAATAAAAGAGAAAGGACATTGAAAGTGTAAAGACATGCACAGTATATGTCTGAGCACCACATTGACTGAGCTGCTCGGTGCATGAGAGGGCTCTCTGTAACAGAATATTTCATAATCGGACAGTAGTCCAAAAGGCTGTCCTTTGTAAAACAACAAAAAAGAAAATCAAAAAAGAAAACACCAAGAATGGTACTGTTAGGCACATAATCGTTTTCTTTATACATAGTTGTCAATCTCTGTAGAACTGCTAGCAGACTTATAAAAAGGGTCATAAAAGAAACCAAAATGACGATTTGATGGAAAGAAACAAAATCATTCTTCTGCTGTTGAGAGTTGTAAAGATGTTCAACCATGAGAAAACACCAGATTTCAAATCAATAATTTAGTATCCAGGGTCTGCGCAGTCCTTGGATGAAGGCTCGTGTGGACAGTGGGTTCTGGGAATGGTGCCCTTCATAGCCGACCCATCAAATGCTGAGGTCTTTAGGGCTCTCTTTGTAGGCCTTCCTCCTTGGCTCAGGTACACTGTTGTTAGCTCTACTGTAACTGGATCTGAGCGTGCTATAATAATCACTCAGCTGGGATTCGACCTCCTCTTCCTCCTCATCACGGTACCCTCTGATGGGAGACAGGTCTCGACCTAGACTCCTGGTCCGGTACGAGTTTGAAACCGAAGACTCGACTCTATGGTATCCGTCCTGTCTGCCCCCACTTCTCACAGGGGAGCGGCCCCTCAACAACGAGTTGTAGTTCTGGAAGGCTGAATCCGAGTCGGGTGTCCGAATGCGGGGAAAGGTGCCATCTCGAGAAGCCCCGCGGAAAAGGGTCGAGTCGCGATATGCTCGCTCCATAGGGGAAAGGTCGTCAAGGTAGCTGGGTGGCTGTCTTGGTAGGGTGTCTTCCAGATTGAGCCGGTCCAGGGACGTTGCCAAATGTGGAATGCTCTCGGATCGAGATGGAGGTTTCGGAGCAGGAGGCTCTTTTAAGGTCATATCCAGCCCCCTGTCGAAGTCACCGTTGTAGGGTTTATCTGAGGAAGCCGCAGGACGTCTCGAGGGAGACTGGTATCTGGATCTTTGTGGGGAACGGTAGGGGGATCTACGGTGGTAAGGAGAGCTGCGGCGATAACCGGATCGGTGGGGTGAGCGCTGAGGTGAACTGTGTCTGCGAGGAGAAGAGTGGCGATGGTGGCGTCTATCCGGTGAGCGGCCGTGTCTCTGGTCGTATCGACTGTCCAAGGTGTTCTCAGCGCTCCGAGCTCTGCGCCTCTCTGGGGAGCGGTGCCTCCGGTGGTGATGGTGATTCTGGTTGTGACTGTGGTGGTGGTGATGGTGTGAGTCATCTTTGCTGGACCTCTTCTTGTCGCCCTTCCTCTTATGAGGCTTTGAGGTTCCACTGTCCTTGCTGTGCCCTTTGCTCCTGCTCTTCTTTTCAGGGGAGCGGTGTCTGTGGTTGATGTGGCGGTGGTTTGACCGGTGGCCGTGCTCCTGTTGGCCCGACTCCCGCGCCCTCCTGTCGTCATTTTGTGATGATTTGTGAAGGTCTGGTGGATAGCTGGACTCCGATGGTGGGTGGGGCCGACTTTCGAGAGGAGCTGCGTTCACTTCCGAAACAGTTTGTGCACCGGCGCTGAGGCCGTTGCCGTCGTTGATGCCGTCTGTAAGATACGAGTAATTATGGGTGAACTCAGTTGTCACATACTGGCTGAACAAGTATCATGTTTGTGATGAATTGTGAAAGTGTTTTGTCTTTGTTATTACTATATTTTCGAATGCTCTTATTGGTTAAGCTGTTGCCATGACTAGACTACCTTGCCCCCATTAAGTACGTTTACATGCACTTTAAAAGTCTGATTTCAGTCAGACTAGAACAACAGTCAAGGCTGGAATCCACTACATCACTTTCGCCCAGATTTTTGCAGTCTGGAGGAGTCGACGCTTGTTGAGGAACGCCAAAGCCAGTCTGCGGAGTTTGGTCAGTCGGACTTGACAGATTTCACAGAATGGTGTATGATTGGCACAGACTCCGACTTTTTAGCTTCAGATTATAATTCCATCCAGTCGGAGGAAATCAATCATCATTCAATGTTTTGAGTCAATTTTAAAAGATATTGTTTTCCTTTGTCATGCATGTCTTTCAACATGCAGCAACAAGCTGCATGCTTCTGCGTGGGTTTGTTCTGTTCCAAATGACGTGTAAGTCTGGTAGCATGAACAGTCATTCAGTGTATGATGGCCAGTTTTTTTTGGAACCATTTTCAGCAAATCTGCAAGTGTATGAGTCCTAGCATTTCAAAAATCTATTCAGATTTTTTTGTAGTGTAGTGTATTCCAGCTTTTAGTTTTTTTATGTCGAACTGAAATAGAACTAGTCCACTTTAGTGAAGTCTAGTGACTATTGCCCAATACTTATACATTAATCAAACTACAATTGGCCTTAGCACTGTGCTTCGAAAGGCAGAGGTGATGTGTGACCTTTTTTTCCCAAATATTTGCCATGAATACTTGGACAGAGAAATTATAACTGAGCAAATATCTGCCTTAACTGTGCATGTTAACGTACTTACTGATTCTGACTACACTGAAAGTGTTCAATCAACAATTAAGAATAGTTTTAGTGTTGATGCAAATGATGAACTCATGCATTTGATGCTTTTAAAATGCTGTTCAAAAGTTTAATATCCAAACATAATGGACTGGTTTGTGATAGACGTGTCTATATGATTAGAAAAATGGATGTAACAAACCTGAGGCAGACAGACCTTTCTGTTCCCACGACTCTTTTCTGAAGTTCAGAACTAACATTCTACATGTAGAAGCACTTTTGAGCTACTTTTTTTGTGAGAGAAACCTAGCATGCTGAAGATAGACAGGGATCCAAAGAGTCAAAGAAGATTTACCTGTACCGGTTAATGGCTTTGGTGGGTGGCAATCGTCGACAAAAAAATTTAAATAAAAAACCGCATGACAGCAAAATAAAACAACACCCACTAATAAGAAAAAAAAATTGCATTCACTGATGAGGTTTTCATCTCGGCAAACTTTAAATGCAAGAATGAACCCACTCATTCAGGTCACAATGTCAGGAATGGCCACAGCACTGGCAATGCATTCTGTGTATATGAACTTGCAAGGGACAGTACAGTTGAGTGGAAGCCACAGCACAGAAAACTGCCAGATATGTGATGAGACGGAACACGGGATCTACAAACCGTGGTCTGATTTTGGTAGAAAGCAGGCTCTCCTGTCTTTTCAGATCTCATACAAGCAGCGACTTGGGGAGCAACCATCGCTAGGGGTGGAAGGAAGAGCCCAGAACAACAGAAAAGAATAGATAAAAAAAGAAGAGAGAGAAGCAGAGCATTTAGATCCCTTAAACAACAGTCGTGAGAGAGTTATGCTCTTTTGCAATGGAAACAGTGTTTATTTTATCAATTAGTCAAAGATAGAGATTGTCCATAAAACGCCCCCACCCTTGAGTGAAAAAAATCAACAGTAACAGAGAGAGCCGGAACCAAACGCGCGCACACACTCACACACACACACATCCTCACCCAGCAGCAAACCAACCCAAAGACAGTGAGATGTGGATGCCGTAACAAGCTTATGTGCACAAACACACACACACACACCATATGAAGCAGTTTACATTGCAAACAGAAAGAAAATAAAAGTGGTGAGACGTGGAAGAAAAAAATGAGAAAAACAAGTACAAAATGGTATAAAAATATACAACCTCACAGAGATATCATGTTGGTGCAGGAAAGGACACATTATATCACATTCTGAACTTGACAAAATACATGAATGGGCATCTTTAAATGGTCAAGACCGAAAAAAACAAAAGCATAAAAAATAACTGTGGCAAACTAGTACGTGAATTTTCCATAAATATTATGGAAATTGACAAGGAAAAAAGACATTTAGATATTCACTGACATCATGCGGCACTGACATTATGCTCAATAAGTGAGTTGCTTTCTGTCTGTAAATTAAAGGATGTAACGTCCGATAACAATCCGTTAGAAACAACAACAAAACAAAAAAACGATAATGGAATGTGGAGTTCAAGAACCATCTGCAAAGTTCGCAAAGAAGCAGTTGACATGTACAACGTGCAAAAATAACTGAATATGTGGAATACAGTATTGTGAGTTTTTACCGAAACCGGCTAATGATACCAGAATGCGTTGAAGTCATGGAATCTCCTTATAGACCCTTCTCAGTAGCTTACATTCACCTTCAATAAATATCATAAATATGTTACAACTCACTGACATGGTCATGTCGCCCCAACGGGGGGCATGACGGAGTTTATCATATTTTTTTCCTCTGAAAAACAATAAACGTATATCCAGTTTTAGAAACGTTAATATTTCTGCTTCCTCACTTTGCGGTTTTTTTGTTTGTTTTGTTTTTAATTCTTGTGAAGTATTATGAAAAGCATGTGCCACAACCACCACCCAAAAGCCACATATCCCAGAGTCCCCTAGGCTAGCCCAGTGCGCAGAGGCAGGGAGTGGAAGGCCCATCACCCAGGAGGAGGTCAGAGGAGAGGGCCAGTGCGCAGAAAAGAAGAGGTGGTGGTGTTGCCGACCCCCGTGGGGGAACTCCTCAAGGGGTGAAGACAGGGGAGAAGGGGATGTTCTCGTAGATTGACCCACCATATTCTGGCACAGAGCCGTCCCCCCTCCTTAGGACCAGGTGGACTTTTCGGCCACCGTTTTTGATCAGTTCAATGGCGCGGGCGTGCTTCATGCCCTTGGTGCTCTCCCCATTGATCTCCAGGATCTCATCTCCAACCTAGAGAGATAAAGAGAGAGAGAGAGAGAGAGAGAGGATGTGGAGAGCATAAAAATAAGGCAATGGAAGCTATATTTAGCGTTGACATCCAGTAAACACGGCATGCATAGAGACAGCTAAAGATGAAGAAGAAGGTAGAATTTCCTTTGTGCTATTTTCCCCTCTGCCTCTGGTTAGCTGTCAGAGCTTATCGTCAAGGGAATACCGTTTCCACAAAAATGGGTCTTCGGCTGACAACTCGCTGCGCTTCACAGAGTATCTGCGCTACTATCCTCTCATCTAACTTGCAGAGCTTAGCATGGCGGCTCTGCATTTCATTTGTTAGCATTGAAGCTAACAGACAGCTAATTTCTCTAATCTTATATACTTTAAAAACCCACAGTATAAGAACACTTCCAAGATGACTATGGCTATAGAAATAAAATGTGATGCTCTGATTATTAAAAATATAATATTAAAATAAATTTTAATTTAATTAATATTATACAAAAACTATTAATTTCCATCTATTAAAATTCATTGAACACTTAAAACATTCATAATATAATATAATATAATATAATAATGTAGTATTATTTAAAAATAATGTTGCATCTATTAAAATTCTTCATTAATTTAAAATATAATATTAATCTATATTATATAATATAATATATTAAAAATAATAAGTATATTAGTTATAGTAAACTAATAATTAAATTAACAACAGTTTAAGACCCCTCATATAAATAATAGCTACCTATCATGACTAATTCTTAGGCTAATAATATAGTTGGATTTATTAAAATGAATCTATCATTTAAAACATAATATAATATTAAAATATATTTCAATTTAATTAATATTATTATAGATAAAATAATTAATTTTCATCTATTAAAATTCATCCAACACTTAAAACATTCATAATATAATATAATATAATAATAAGTATATTAGTTATATTTAACTAATAATTAAATCAACAGCTTAAGACCACTCATATAAATAATAGCTACCTATCATAACTAATCCTTGGGCTATTCTTTTAGGTGATATGTGACCCTGGACCACAAAACCTGTCATAAGTAGCAAGGGTATATTTGTAGCATTAGCCAAAAATACATTGTATGGATCAAAATTAGCCATTTTTCTTTTATGCTAAACATCATTAGGATATTAAGTAAAGATCATGTTCCATGAAGATATTTTGTAAATTTCCTACTGTAAATATATCAAAACTTAATTTTTGATTAATAATATGCATTGCTGAGAACTTCATTTGGACAACTTTAAAGGGCGATTTTCTCAATATTTTTATTTTTTTTGCACCCTCAGATTCCAGATTTTGAAATAGATGTATCTTGGCCAAATATTGTCCTATCCTAAAAATTATATTTATTCAGCTTTCAGGTGATGTGTAAATTAAAAAAACTGACCCTTATGGCTGGTTTTGTGGTGCAGGGTCACATATAATAAATAAGTTCAAATCACTCAGTTTCAGATTCAAGTATGATTAAATCCGAATATGTGTGTCCTGATTCACAGCTGCACATACCCTCATCTTTCCATTTCGCACGGCTGCTCCGTCCTCTGCAAGTCTCAGCACATACAGGTCCATGTTGTACTCTCGACCCCCTCTAAGGCTGAAACCAAAGCCTTTATTGTCCCTCTCCAGATCAACAGAGTAGAACTCAGCATCCTAAAACACAAACAAATACAAGCCAAAGTCAGTGATGAATCTATAATTGCATTTTTTTTAATGTAGGCTCCCATTTCAGCAAATGAAATGAAAGCCAACTGCAGGAAAGACATGTATTTGATAGCAGATGCATCAGAGGGACAGCTTAAATAATTGATCTGACTCTGATGATATTTTAGGTAGGGAGGGAAGGGCTGGATAGGGCCATTGTGAGGTAGCAACAAACACAAAAAATAGTTCAAAATACCACCTTAGAATCAGGGAACCTCAAGTGTAAAATGAGTCATAATGTGCATTTGACAAATTTGCTTTGGTGTTTCAAACCTTTTGCCTTGTTTTGTTTTCGACGGTTCATCTAACTACTGACATGCCCTCTCTCAGAGGACCAAACATCTTAAGCAGATGGCAGTGTGAGGAACGGAGCGAGTGATGTACCTGATTTGAAGGTTGTGTTGGAGCTGGAGGAGGTGGAGCTTGTGGGGCTTTGAACTCAAAAGACTCCTGTTTTGGTTTGGTGTTGTTTCTGGGGAAAAAGACAGTGACAAAACTTTTGTCAAATTATGAGCACTAACATACAGTAGCCCCCCAAAAATGTTTAAATATCTGATTGTTACTGCATAAAGAAGAGATATTTTGTGCTCACAAAGGCTACAAAAATATTGTTTTTTGAAAATAACTTTTCAATTGTAATATTTAAATATTGAATATTTAATGTATACATTTTAAATGTAATTTATTCCTGTAATGCAAAGCTGAATTTTCAGCATCATTACTCGAGTCTTCAGTGTCACATGATCCTTCAGAAATCATTCTAATATGCTGATTTGCAGCTCAAATAACATTTGTCATTATCAAGGTTGAAAACAGTTGTGCTGCTTAATATATATATATATATATATATATATATATATATA